CTTGACAACACTAGAGGTTCTGAGAGTACATTCTTGAGGTGAAGGAGGGCATGCTCGCACTCCTCGATCCATTTGAATGTGGCCTCCTTGCGCAAAAGCTTGAAGAAGGGGAGGGCATGTTGAGCAGACTTGGCGACGAAACGTGACAATGACGTGAGCATCCCATTTAGTGATTGGATGGAATTCTTTGTGTTCAAAGTGGCGAACTCGGAGAAAGCCTTGCACTTGTCTAGATTGGCTTCTATTCCTTATTCTGTTAGGTAAAATCCGAGGAATTTTCCTGCTCGTACAACGAAGGTGCACTTCTTAGGGTTGAACCACATCCTGCACTTCCTCGTCGTCTCGAAGACCTTCTTGAGATGGGTGGTGTGGTCAAATTCTTCACGTGACTTCACGATCATGTCATCCATGTAAACTTCGAGCATGTCCCTGATTTCTCCCCTGAAGACCCTGTTCATCATCCACGAATAGGCCGCGTCGGCGTTCTTCAAACCGAAGGGCATTAAGTTGTAGTAATAATTTCCCGACTCGGTCATGAAGGTTGTGTATTATTTGTCGGCCTTCGCCATGAGGATATTATTGTACCCCGAGTATGCGTCCATAAAGGACAGCAGTTTAAAACCTATAAAATTGTCGACGAGTTTGTCAATGTTAGGTAACAGGTAAGCATCTTTGGGGTATGCCCGATTGAGATCAATATAGTCAACACACATCCTCCATTTTCCATTATGTTTCTTAACTAGTACAACGTTGGATAGCCAGGTTGTGTACTGGGCTTCCGATATAAAATTTGCATCTAGGAGGTATTTTACAACTTTTTCAACAGCCTCCGCTTTCTCGGGAAACTGCCTACGCCTACGTTGAACTACGTCCCTAGCGGCCAGATCTATGGTAAGGTGGTGGCATGCCAAGGTCGATCTTCCCAGGATGCACTGGTACAGAGAGAGGCATTCAATCACCAAGAAACAGACCTTCACATGTCTGGCTGTCTCCTCGGCCCCGAATGTGATAAGCAGTTCCACGTATCCCCAAGGCTTGGTGTTGGTACCGTTGAAGCCCTGTAGGCCAGAGGCGACATACGGGGTCAGGTGGCTTTCGTCGAGCTGGAGGGTCGTAAACAGATAGACGTATATTATGTCTATCAAACTTCCTTGGTCGACTAGGATTTGGCGCATGTTGAAGTTCGCCATCTGAGCCCTAATCAAGATAGGGATATTGGAGTTTAGTTCACCCTCGGGATGCTCCTCGAGGTAAAAGGTAATCGGGTTCGATTCGCCTTTGAACTTATCAAGGGTAGCATTTGTCTTCGAACTCTTGTCAATGATTTTTTCGAACTTTCTCTTGACCGACCCGACCGATAGCTTGTTGGGCCCCCGCCGGATATGACCCAGGTGGCGAGGAAATCCTCCCATGGACTGTGGGTGGACGTCGGTCTGGTGAACTCGCTGAGAAAGAGGAAATCCTCTGGCCGGGAGACACACAGGGCGACCTGTAGTCCAGCTTCTTTGGAGGATGGTGACACTTCCTTGACCCTCTTGGCTTCACAGGTCTCAGGTCGGAGAGCCTCACCTCTCCGGGTGTACTGTTTCAAGTGCCCTTCCTTAATTAAGATTTCAATTGCATCCTTGAGGTGGATTTAATCCTCCGCGATGTTTCTATGACTCTGGTGGAACCAACAATATTTAGATTTTTCCACGTTGGGCTTTAGGGGTGTCAGTTTTGGGAAACGGACACCGCCCCTCTGAAATTCCGAATTGATGCACACGGATAGGATGCGCTCGCGGGGAGCTGTGAGCAGGGTGTACTCAGTGAACCGGCCTGTTGGTCCCCTCTGCCCGCGGGGTCAGTCTTCTCTCCTTCTTTCCCCGCTTTGTTGAGGAGAAGCAGCCTCCTCATGCCTGGTGCCCCTGAAGCCTTCATGGTTCCGTATGTCACGGGCGGTATTGGCAGCCTCTATCTCCTCATATTGGATGTATGATTGGGCTTTGTAGAAAAGAGCATTCAAGGTGCGGGGGCGCTCGATCCCGACGGCTTTAGCGAAGTCGAAATGAGGTCGTATGCCTCTCTGGATCAGGAATTTCTTTATATCATCCGTGGTGGACACCTGGACGGCTTCTCGGTTGAACCTCTCTATGTAGCATGAAGAGGTTCGTTCTTCCCTTGGATAATGGCTTCCAGAGCTGCCTCTGTCATCGGATGGCGTCGGAAAGCTGTGAAGTGCCTGGAGAACTGCCTCTTCAGTTCACCCCAAGAAGTGATGGATTTGGGTGCGAGCATTTGTACCACGCCATGGCACCCTTTCTTAGGGTGGTGGGGAAAAGCCTGCACTTGATGGCTCCCCGCACGTTCCGATAAACAAGCATCGCATCGATGCTTTCTACATGGTCGTCTGGGTCAGTCGTGCCATCGTATGCCGCTAAAGGTGGGGGTTTCTCCATCCCTATAGGCAGTGGGGCCTCTCTAATGACCCTACAAAGTGGTGAGCGCTGGACGTCTTCATCACTCATGACAAGTGACAGTGAAGGGGAGAACGATCCCTGGTTGTTCTTATTCTGTCAAGGAGAACTCCTCGGTCGGGCTCTTGGTTTGGTAACGCCTCTTTCGACTTTGCTTTTCTTCTGAGCTGGGGAGCTTCGTTCCTTCCGGGGAGGTGACTGATCGCGCTTCTTGGGAGTCATCGGTTGTGGTCACTCCAAGCGAGGGCGACGCCCAATCGGTTGGGGATAAGGGCTCCGAGAGTCGATGTGCCGCATCCTCCGCGGAGGAGGAGAGAGGCTGTTGGAAACTGGGCGACGATGTCTCCCCGAGGGAGAGCATGATGGTCGCTCCCTCTCGAGCATCCCTATTCACTTGTTTTGTTGGAAGATCGTCATGTTGGTCTGGTTGATCGCAACGAACAGAGCCACCATGGTAGGGTCGGCGCCTGCTGGCGCTGAGATGGGTTGGTAGACAACCGAGCTGTCGAGGCGTTGGGCAGTATTGAAGGCCGCGTCCTCCGAGGAGGGAGAGGCAGCACACCCGTACATGTAGTCTCCCTCGTCGTTGCGGACGGTCACGTTGGGGCCGTGGTCGTCCCCGTTGGCGAAGGTGACGAAGGCGATTTTCGGAGCATTGTCTTCGTGTGGGCTGGCCATGATCGGAATGGAAGTCGAAAGTTGCTTTGTTTCTACGCTTAGATAGGAGAAAGATCGAGGAAGCAAAGGTTTCCCACATACGGCACCACTGATCTCACCTGATCAGAAAGGAATCAGTAGCCTGCCACGTGTCATGAGCTGTTGCGTTCACCAGTGTTGTAGAGGAGAAGGGATGTACCTGCAAGGTACTCCGATGCATAAGTGAGTAACGGGGTTTAGAAAGAGCAAGTACAGAGAGAATAAGTGTGGAAAATAAGATACCTGACCATCTAGTGAAATAGGATATTTATAATGTTCCCCAAACGTAGGGCCAATAGTTACATTGCATTGATCCGAATTGTCAAGTCCAACACAAGTAACTGCCAGGGCTTACGTGGCGTAAGGAATACCACCACGTGGTATTCTCCCTAGATCAACTGCCCCGTGATCTTCGGAAGATGGGCTGACCGACTCTTTCGGAGGTGGGTAGTTGCCTGATGACGTGTCCTCGCGTGGGGAACACGTGGAGAATGTGGGGAAAGCGTGTGAGCTCTCCCCGACAAGATAATACTCTGTCCGACTAAGGTGCCTTGTTGAGGTGTGTGCCCGAGAGAGGAGGATTGGGCCTTTGTTAGGCCTCATCAGCATAGTGTTGGGTTGGGCCTGTCCGGCTGAGGAGCAGGTCTCGGCCCAGTCCAGAGCAATAAGGATATGCAATAATCACCTAAAAACAATTCATTTATAAACACTTAACCAATCATTTTAGCCTCTCCCTGACTAATAACGGGGAAGTAAACCTTTTAGTGTTTTTAGCAAGAACAACTAGCGTTTACACAACCGTGTTTCCAGATAATGGTTTAGTCACCTTCGATTTCACCTTCTCTCTTTCTCTCTTTCAATTACGAAATCGCCTTCACTCCTTATCTCCTCCAATTATGACTTTGCCTTCAATCATTGTCTCCTTCAAACTTTCCTTCTCTTTGTATGCTAGGGTTTTGTAAGAACGAAAATGATGAGTTGAAACAAATTTCAATTAACCATTTTATTTTATCTTCACGTTAGTTACTTAATCTTCACATCAGTGCCACATGTTTTTAGTATGGCTAGTTTGACTTTGACTAATAAATTTAATAGAAATAACAAACGTGACATGTTATGAAAAAATAAATGATCAAATTGATCTTTTAAAAGTTAAAAGATTAAAATGAACTCCAATTTATAGATTAAAAAAAAGCATTAAAATTATTAAGTTTTTTTAAGGTTACATTGAAAAAAATTACTCATTATAATGTGAAGCTACATATAAGCAAACAAGCATAATTCACTATCACTATTTTTTATATTGGTTTAGTCTTTTTTTTTCACCATTTGAGAATGAGAATGGATTAGGTACCTTTATGTTTGCTATCTTATAGATGTTATTTTTGTTAAAACGCACTAGACTTATACAACACATATGCTTTCAAATCCCACTCACCTTCCAAAGTAATTTTAATTTAAAGTAAAAACGAAAAAGTTGGAAAGTGTAGAAAGCACTAACCTATTTATTATAGAATTTAAATAGTATGCATTGATTTTACAATGTCATATTCTCCTAAATTATATTGTAGATTTTAAATTAATAATAGAATATGAAAGTGTAAAATTATTTTAGAATGTGCATATACCAATTAAACTCATATTTTGAAGAGTTTGATATATAGATATTAGAAAAAGTGATTACTAATTTGCAAGTGTGCCTTAAACATATTGATGTAATATAACATTAGTATTATTCACATGGCAACCACAAGCCGCCCATAGTCATGTCATAACCCTATAAATAAAGCCACATTTTCTGCATGCTCAATCACACCAACTTCAAACACATCTCTAATAAGAGAAGAAATGAACTCCCTTCGTCTCATAGCCATAGCTCTCTACTGTTTAGCAATTGTGTTTGGAGGATTAACTTTCTCCTCAGATGCACAACTTGACCCTAATTTTTACATTCAAACTTGCCCCCAGTTGCAGTCTATTGTAACTCAAATCTTATCCAAAGTTGCTAAGAAAGATCCCCGAATGCCTGCTAGTCTCATCAGGCTCCACTTTCACGACTGCTTTGTTCAAGTATGTATACATACATATATGTTCCTGATAAGTGCTTTTATATATATAAGTTATTCTTATAGTAAAAGTTATTTCTGATTGATACAGGGTTGTGATGCATCCGTTTTGTTGAACAAAACTGATACTATTGTGACTGAACAAGAAGCCTTCCCAAATATCAACTCCTTAAGAGGGTTAGATGTTATAAATCAGATTAAAACTGCCGTAGAAAGTGCTTGTCCAAACAAAGTCTCTTGTGCTGATATTATTACACTTTCTGCTGGAATATCTTCCGTTTTGGTAAATATAATTATTTTAGTTAACAACAAACCAATTTTCACATAATTTTATTAACAAATTTATGTTCACAGACTGGAGGTCCAGGTTGGTTGGTTCCACTGGGAAGAAGAGATAGTTTAACGGCAAATAAAGCTCTTGCTAATCAGAATCTTCCAGGCCCTTCTTTCAGTTTAACTGAACTGAAATCTGCTTTTGCTGATCAAGGCCTCACCACACTTGATCTAGTTTCACTCTCAGGTATGTATATATTCATAAAAAAATGTACCAACATTATAAATTTAATGAAGTTAAACTTTTACTATATACATAGTCGTCTCATGTTTTTTGAAGACTATGTTTAGATTCTGTGCGCTTGTGACTATATATATATACTTGGATAATTTCAGGTGCTCATTCATTTGGTAGATCACGTTGCTTTTTATTCTCTGACCGATTATTCAACTTCAACAGTACTGGAAAACCTGATCCAACTCTTGATCCAGCTTACTTAAAAGTATTACAAAAGCAGTGTCCTCAGAACGGCCCCGGAGATAACCGTGTCAATTTTGATCCAACAACTCCGGATATATTGGACAAAAACTTCTACAACAACCTTCAAGTTAAGAAGGGTTTGCTTCAAAGTGATCAAGAATTGTTCTCAACACCAGGTGCAGATACTATTGGCATTGTCAACAATTTTGCTAGTAACCAAAATGCTTTCTTTGAGAATTTTAAGAATTCAATGATTAAAATGGGAAATATTGGTGTGCTTACCGGAAAGAAAGGTGAAATTAGAAAACAATGTAATTTTGTTAATCAGAAGAAGAAATCATCTGAGTTGGATATTACATCTGTGACTTCTACAGAATCATCTGAGGGGGATATGGTTAGTTCAATGTAAGTGTTTTGAGGGGGATATTACTACTGTTTAGTTGAAATAAAGAAGTGATTATAGCTAGGTACTTTTGTGCCATAAGCTTTGTGTTATGTGCCTTGTGTTGTTTAAGATAATCTTCTTTTATGTAATGTTTTAAATAATATTCACTCTTTCTATTACAACTTAAAAGCTCTTGTTTCATAGCATTGATAGAAAGTAAAGTTATGATTAGAACGATAATTAGTTACTACTTTTTGAAAATAATAGTCTAAAATTAGGTGAAACAGTGAGATTAAAATGTTAATTTAATTTGACTTGTGGGAGAGTTGTTGGTAAAAGTTTCATAAAGGTTACATTCAGACTTTTACGACGAAACACATTTAGTAACATAGCAAGTTTTTTTTTTTTTTTGAATATCATATCGTTTCTCAATCACCATATACTCCAACAAACGGCTAACCATATACTGTTAACCTTTCCTACCTTGATTTTCTTCCTTTTGGAAAAAGATGTCTAGGAAGTTGCTGATCATGTCAACTCATCATTCTTCTATCTTGTGAAGGATATCCTAACACTTTTTTGTATTTGCGATAATTTAACTAATTCTAAGATTGTGATTTTCTCTTGGCAGCTATTGCCCGATAGGTTCTCTTTTAGAGAGAATTTATTCAAATGCAAAGTTATTGTCGAACGGATTATCTTTTTGGTGTTTTGTGTGGGACTCGTCTAAAGCATGTCTTTCATTTGTTTATTGCTTCTAGCTTAGCTTATGCTCTATGGTATAAGATTTTTAAGTGGTTGGGCTTTCAGGTGATCATTCATGGGGAGCCTAGGATTCTTTTTGAGGTTTTTTTTATATCTCTAGGTTCTAAGCTTAAGAGTATTAGAGGTTTTTCTATGATTTAACATGTTATGGTGTGGACCATTTGGTCGGTTCGTAATGATAATATGATATATGATTCATCAAGAAATGTGAAAGAGTTAGAATAGAAGAGTATTTTTTTTTTGTCTTGGAATTAAGTTCTAAGTAGATATTCATTAAACTCAAACTCCTTTTTTTCGATTAGTTCCAGAATCCTATCATGTGTCTAAACTGATAGCAGATTAAGAATTCAACCCTGCTCTAAGAGGTGTTCAATGATTTTGGTTTTGTTAGAGGTTTCCTTGTTCTCTTGTTGGTGAATCTGGTCGTCTAATCCTTGATTAGAAGAGTTCAAATTTGAAATATCACTACTACAAAAAGCGCTTCTTACCTCAAACGTGAAATGCATAATACATCGGTTATAGAAGCGAGGTAACGAAGAGCGATATGAAACATCTTCATTTATTACCTCGACGGAATTAAAACCGAGAGATAAAGTTAAATGCACATGGGTTCGAACCCCAGCAGCATCACTTTTATTATTTTCAAAACTAGTGTATCTTTCATCTCGGTTTATCTTGAAAATCGAGGGGTGAGATAATTTTTTTTAAACATTTACATTGTTTACCTAGAATATTATATTGCTTACCAAAAATATTACATTGTTTACACATAATATTACATTATTTAAAATAAAAGTCAAATTCCCTGGAAAACAAGGTAAAAATCAAATTCCTCAAAGATCTAGATCTTAGATCTTCAAATTATTGAGTCTTGGGAAAAATCAAATGTTGGCTGCAAGATTATTCTCTATGGATCTAGCATGCATTTATTTCTGAAGTAAAACAAAATAAGGGTTAGATAAATAAAATGAATATTCAAATATATGATTTTGTGCTCATGATAAATATTCAAGAAAACAAACCTTAAACTCAAGTAATTTTTTACTCTTGCAATCCATCTTAGAGAACTTTTCAAAACGTCTTTATGTTTCAAGCGCTTCATGTTTCATTTAGGTTAGATTTTTAATATTCAACATGCTTTTATAATAGATGTCCCTTAGGTTTCACGCGGATAACTAGTGGCAGATTCTTGAGCATTGATAAATATTAAATGGACAACAAAAATTTGTTTAAGGATGATGCATATAGTAAAAAAAAACTTAACTATCCCGTCGGTCAAGAAGAAAACCAAGGTGAATAAGTTGTTTTTTTTTTAAATACATTATTTACACAAAACATTAAAATTACATTGTAAAATCTGTTTTCCAATGATAACTTTTATTTTACATGTCCAAGTCCCATGCAAGATGCTAGAGATCTATTTCCTAATGATAATTTTTATTTTTTACACTTACAATCCATCCCAGAGATCTGTAGTAGAAACTCGTGATAGAAATGGACAGTGATGAATATTTCCTCTCTTTTGGGCGACTGCATATAACTTAGTAAATATTATTACTAACCACCTCGGTTTGACTATATAACTGAGGTTTTATTTTAACTATCACCTCGATTTTAAATTTAAAAAAAAATGAGGTAACTATTTTTTTTAAATACATTGTTTCTACAAAATATCAAAAAACATTGTTTACCACAAATCTTCGGTGATATTCAGATTTTGTTGGATACCCATTAAAACATATATTTTTGAAACAAGAACGATTTACTGCACTTGCAATATATCAACGGAGTACTCTTCAAAGGTTAAACTCCTTTCTTTGTTGGTTAAGCTCAATTATTTGTTTAATTTGAAGCAGAAATGATTTTCTGTACTTGCAATCTATCAACTGAGCTCTTTTCAAAGGTTGAGCTCCCTTCATTGTTGGTTAAGCTCCATACTTTAATTAACTTGAAGCAAGAATTATTTTTTGCACTTGCAATCTATCAACTGAGTACCCTTCTTTAATTGAGGGTTATTCAAAAAATACAACAACGACAACATCAACACCATTATGTGAGATAGATTGCAAGAGCAGAAAAAATGTTTTGTTCAAAATAGAAGAAAATTGAAGATTTTTTGTCTTCCAATCCATCCCAATGAATGATGCTTGAGGCGGCTTCATATTAGTAAGGATTAAGGTAAAATCTGTTTAACGAGTGTTTTAAAGTAAAATCTTATTATTTTATGCATCGGTTAAATATAAAACATAAGGGTTAGAACATTTTGTTTACACTTATAAAAAAATAGAATCATAAATTGTGATAGCTGAGAATCGAAGCTTGTATTGATTTGTTTTTTCACCTCTGTTTTATGAAAAACCGAGGGAATTTATGTTTTTTTAAAATAATAAAAAATAGCGTGTCTTGGTTTTATACTTCAGTTTTCTATCGTTTGAGGTGAAAGTTTCGTCATGAAAAACGTTATTTATTATATTGTATGGATGGCCATGCACTAAATAATCGATTAGGACATTGGAAAACAGTGCAAAAGTTAGTGCCCAATGTTCAACTGCTGCACTCAATTATCTAATCGATTAGAAGGTTATTCTAATATATTTGACAAGCCCTATAAATAGGTCTTTTCCCTTCTTCCTTTTCATTTCATTCTATCTGCTTTTGTTTGCATACTTAGGTACTTTAGAGCAAATTTTAATTTTCATCTCTTCATGCCACTAAAAAAGCATGAAGAACCAACAAAATTTTTGTTTTTATTTTTATTTTTTTAAAATAATAAAAAATAGTGTGTCTTGGTTTTATACCTCAGTTTTCTATTGTTCGAGGTGAAAGTTTCGTCATGAAAAGTATTATTTATTGTAGTGTATGGATGACCGTGCACTAAATAATTGATTATGTGAAGGAAATAATCGATTAGGACATAGGAAAACAATGCAAAAGTTAGTGCCCAACGTTCAATTGTTGCACTCAATTATCTAATTGATTAGAAGGTTATTCTAATATATTTGACAAGCCCTATAAATAGGTCTTTTCTCTTTTTCTTTTTCATTTCATTCAATCTGCTCTTGTTTGCATACTTAGGTATTTTAGAGCATATTTTAATTTTCATCTCTTCATGCCACTAAAAGAGCATGAAGAACATGCACCTCCGAAGCCCAATCCTCCTACCACTCTGAAACCTTCTCATCCCAAAAGAAAGAAACAAACTTCATATGCTACTATGCCGAAAGGTAAATATTTGAGTCTCACTACTTGGATGAGAAAGCCTTTAAAGATTGCAACTTTGTCCAAGTTTTTTCGGAGGCCGATTTAAAGAACTTCATCTTTAAAGTACCCGAATAAAGATTTCCCACCTTGGTGTTCTATGAGAATCTCAAATATGTAGATGGAAATTTCATCTCTGAAGTTTAAAAAAATCCAATTCGGCTAACCCTTGAATAATTCACAAATACTTTCAATCTTCCCTTCAAGGACTACGATTATGATGACACTGAAGAAGGTAACACTTTTTTATCGTGATGTTGTTGCTTCTTTTTTGAATGATCGAACATCCATTATTATCATTCCATTCATCGTTGGCATGATATGGTCGGATAATTGTTTAATTTACTATGTGGTGAATCATGTTATTTTCCTAAGGAAAAGCAAATATAGCCATATAAACAAATCCAACATACTCCCTTCATTTTCTTTTATAAACAAATTTTGACTTTCTAGATTCATTCAATAAATGATGTATTTGGACTATATATAGGTTAGATGCATTAATTACATAATGAATCTAAAATATTAAAATTTGCTTATAAATAAGAATGGAGGGAGTAGCTATAGTTTAGTTTTTGGAAAATTAAGTTGAGAAAAATTGGGCTGATGTCATGATCCATCGTATGATGGGGAGTAAAGTCACGAAAACCCTGGTACATACCGGCTACAATTTAGAGCATGGGGAATCACAAATTAGACACTTAGGAATCGGGAAAAACACTCTAAGTCAAATGAGGTTTATAACTTAAAAAGGGGAAGTTATTCCACTACCTCCAAATGCACCCTCAAAAGCACGACAACATATAGAAAACACGAGCATCCCTTCTACATCCTCTTCCAACATTATCATCAACAACCTCCTCCAAAATTAACAAGAGATGATGAGGATGGAAATGAAGACAAACTTAAGGATTTTTTACTCATAAACAAGCTCTTTGATGTCCAACTCATATCCCCAATCATTTCTAGCGATGATGAAGAGGAGGCGAATTAGTTGTTTG